GGCGAGTGCCTCACTCGCCCCATGGTAGCTACAGCCCTGCGTGGCTCTGATCCTTTCACAAGGACTACGAATGAAAAGATTAGAGTGGGGGACTAAAGAGGGACTTGTAGATCTCAATGGAGTACAAGTGCGGTGAAGCCACGACACTGGTAGTCCATCAATTACTTCCTCCATGCCCATAATTGAAGGTCTCTACCTCTGTACAGACCTGATGCAGGAACAGTCTACAGAAGCCTGTACATTGCACCTGTAATTCACTGAGCATGGTTCCAATGCTTTGCAGGCTCAACTGTGTGTGCATTTATTATTATATTTTGTATAGGTGGACTCGGCCTTTAAGTTTACACACACATAAGAGGCCTCACTGACCAGATTCTTGTATTCCTTTCTGAAACCTGAATTCTGGCCCGTTATGAACTAAAACACCAACTAATGCACACACTGTATATACCTAATACAAATAATGATATGGTTGTTCAAATGCAACAACTATAACTACCTGAATTTGACTTATAATCAGTCTATTGTAATCCCTATGTACAACAGAACTACAGAGGCAAATGTGCTGACATAGAGCATGCTGATAGGGGGAGAGATCAGATGACAGAGGGATAAACTGCTGCACAGTCACTCTGCAATCACAGTCTGGGACAGGGAAGTGAGCAAGCTTTAGTGCTAAAGGGAACAAGTCATGTCACAAGCCTGGCTGTATTGTCTGTCAGAGCTTTGTTAATCACAGGACTGAATTGACAGATACACAATTCTTTTGGGATGTAAAATAGCCTCCATGGACTATGAGTAATGTACATGTGTTCATGTGTTTTTCTGAAATAATATTTAATAGCAAGTTAAGAAACTCATAGTAGGTAGGTATTTGCTTTGCTGAGAACAATAAAAGACACAACAAGTGATGTGTGTTATAGTATCTTGTTTGTATTACCGTTAAGTAGCACAAATCAAAACAAATCCCAACAAAAGTCTGTACACAGTGCTCACAGACAAACACATATATTGCATTGAAGCACCTTGGGCGGAATTTATTAAACTGGAGCAGAAGAATCTGCAGCTGTTGCCTATGGCAACCTATCAGCTTCTGTCTTCAGTTTGTTCAGTTAGGGTTTGAAAATGAAAGGTGGATGCTGATTGGTTGCCATGCACAGCTGCTCCAGTTTTGATCAATTCTCCTCTTAGCAGAGTAATAAGCTACTAAAGTTACATTTCTCAGAGATGGCAGCAGCCAAGACAACCAGCTTTACCACATCCACTGGACAGATTCCTATTGAAGGGTCTTATTCTCCTATAGCCTATATATATATCACATCACATAGAATGCGGGAGGAGGAGTGAGTCTCTGAGATGCTTTGTGCAAAAGTTGTAAATAAAGTCCAGCAGATCTTGTTGCCAGTATAAAATGCTGTGAGTGATTCAGTGTCTCTAAGGCTCCATTCACACATGAGTACGAATACGCGCGGAAATGCACCAAACATAAAAAACAATGCATTCCATTGTGCATATTTCACACGAGTGAAGCGGTATGAAATCCATATCCTTCCAGATTTGCGCATATTCATGCAAATGCCATATGTCAATGGAACCTTAAAGGAGAACTATGGGGTCAGTGCTTTTAGCCTCCATGGACTGTGAGTAATGTACATATGTTCATGTGTTTTTCTGAAATAATATTTAATAGCAAGTTAAAGGAGAACTATGGGGTTAGGGCTTTTCCCCATAGTTCTCCTAAGGGTCACGGGAGGACACAAACTAGCGTCCTCCCATCACCCAAAGCTCAGTATACGGCGAGCTACAGCTCACGATATACTGAGCACGGCACAGCCGGGACGGATCCCGGCATTACTGTTGAGATCCACCCAGCTGCGTGATTGACAGCTGGCTCTGCCTATCTAGAGGCAGAGGTAGCTGTACCCGCCCCCTCCCCGTCTGTTCCCGCCAGCCAGCGCTGGAGGATCGGAGCGGGGAGGGGGGAATCCCTGTAGGGAGCCGTGAGTGACAGTCACCACTCTATGCAGGTAGATGATCGAGAAGTGAGCGAGCGCCGGTATGTGTTCGCTCACTTCGCGATCTATTGAGCCGACGCGTGACAGTTTCATTATCACACATCGGCTCGAACTATGAGGATGAGTGATTTTCACTCACCTCATAGTTCTCCTTTAAGGTGATTTAGCATTGTTCACCCATAATGATATGGCCGGTTTAGCCCACATTAACACCTGAAGCAGCAATGCTCAACATGAAGGTTCCATGATACTCGGTTCTGCCCATTCACACCTGAGCGTTGTGTTGTCTGCTGCTTGGCGTTTGAAGCTCCATAATGTACATGAGTTTTTTCTGAGCAAAATTCTGTTTTTTTGCCCCTTAAACTTTAACGAAAACGCTTGGAAAACATGTATAACTCGCATTTTCCTCGCAATTTTGCCTCCAACAACCGTCTCCTCCTCCTAGTAACTAGTTTTCTATTGGCAAAATCAGAAACGCTTGAGCCTGAAAACATCTTGAAACATGCAAAAACGAATGCTTCAAAGTTGCCTAAAAACACTCATGCCCAAGTGTACATGAGGGCTTACGATAGAGTAAGAGCTTGTTCATACCTACGTGTGCATTTTTACATTGCCGTGCGTTATAACAAAGCATCACAGTGTTTAGGACCCATTCACACCACATTCAGATTACCTCCAGACCAGAAGAGATTGTTTCCGGACCCACAATGCATCCCAATGTATGCTATGCTATTTCTGGGCTCTGTTGCCACCAGCGCACTCCATTCCAGACCAGAAAAATACTGCATGTCTCATTTTCTCTCACACCGGAGCGTGCATCAATGCGTCAAAAACGCACCGGAACAGAATGCAACTAACTGAAAAACCCCCAAAAAACGGCTTTTGGCAAGCTTGGATGATATCATCACAATTGGACTTCCTGTGTTGAGGAGAGGAGCTATTGCACGAGAAAGGGATGATGATGGCTGAAGTAGATACAGAATATTTTGTGGAACTTGTAGAACGTTACCCTGAACTGTACGACCCAAAGCATGGGCACTATAAAAATAATGTCCGCAGAATGGGCACATGGAGAAGCATTGCTGATTATAACATGATGAGCAGTAGACATGTGCACTGCCAAAAAATTCGTTTCGTTTCGTTTTAAATTCGGATTTGTGTTATTTCGTTTTTCGGGATTCGGGTGTGAAAGTCAATTCGGATTCGGAATTCGAATTCGGACGAAATTCGGTAGTGTTCACATGAACGTTCGGTTCGTTTTCTGTTCTTATTCGTTTGTTATTCGTTTGTTATTCGTTTGTTATTCGTTTCGTTTCGTTCGTTTGCAGCAAAAGTGACATTTGAGGGGGAAAAAATATTTTTCTCCTTCTCTAATGTCACTTTGCTCCAACGAACGAAACGAATAAGAAACGAATACGAACAGAAAACGAACGTTCGTGCGAACGCTACCATATTTCGGAAATGGAAATTCGGATTCGTTTGCATTCGTTATGTCTGTAATTCGGAATTCGGATACATCCGAATGTCCGAATTTACGAAAATTCGTCCGAATTTCGATTCGGAACTAAACGAATCGCACATGTCCAATGAGCAGTGCAGAAAAGCCAGCCTGTGGTGAGTGCATAATACCTTTACATTACTTTTCAGTTTGTTCCAGCATGTATTCTACTATTCTTTGCCCTGTCACTTGTATATGTATGTAGTACTTATAGATTGCAGAATTTCCCCATCCCCCGCCCTACTTTGTCATGCCTGCTGCTTTTGCCTGTGCACACAACACTGTTCTACATGGAGCACACCGAACAGGTTGTTGTAGCTACAGGAGGGGGTAGTTTGCCAAAAGTGCCATTTTCGGCCGATATGTTTCTGCGGCCAAAATTTCGGGGTATCCCTACAAATGAGTAAACTAAAGGTGAGATTGTAGTCCATCACAGGAGCAAGCTTGGAGCGGTGGCTACTTTACAACACACACAGGGGCCATGGGAAACAAAAGTAGCCTTCCTCCAGAAGGAAGGACAGTGTCGGCACCAATTCAGAGATGATTTGAGGAGCTACAGCCGAGTGATACACAAATAAGATACATTTTTATTAATAGTTCGGGTACTTGAATGTATTTTTAAGATTTAACTCCTGAGTTTAGTATCACTTTAAGCTTTTTTGTAACTTTATTGAACGTTATCAAACACTCCATTCAACTTTATGCACAATACTTGCTACATTTTCATGTAATGCACCTGTATGGTGTGAACATTTGTTCTATGTGTCCTCTCCTTGAACAATGTAGATCATTGTAGCTTAACAGACAGAGAGGGGAGTTTATCAAACCTGAAACAGACAGAATCTGGAGGAGTTGCCCATGGCGACCAATATGCTTCTCTCTGTCATTCCCAAAGTTTTACTGATGGGCATTTAATTAAATTTGTCACTAAATTTTGGGGTTTAATAAGGAGTTGCGCTAATATTGCGCAACATAAAAATTTTCAACTACCACCATTTTATTCTATAGGGTCTTGGCATTCAGAAAATATATAATGTTGGGGGGTTTTACGTCATTTTCAGGCCTAAAATGTGGAATATAACATGGGTGCAAAAATGGAAAAAAGGGCCTCAGTCATGAAGGGGTTAAAAGAGGGGCTGACTGGTTTCTATGTGTAACTGCTCCAGTTTGTCTGCTCATCTAACACAGACACCTGACATGATTTGATCAGAGCAGTAATATCTCTAAATGTAACTGTGCCAACAGTTTTCTGATGTGTATGGAGCCTGTCCCATGTGCACAACGATCTATCCACAACCGCGTCCTTCACACCTCTGGCCAACACACGGTCCCTTCTCAGCTGTCGTCCTCCAGCGGAGCGATGTGACCAATCACAGCGTGGGACTCCCCGGTTCTGCCCTCCCCCGGACCGCACGCCCACGCCCCCTCTCGCCCCCTCCAGTGACGTCACCTTGCCTGTACTGTCAGTGTTGTTCATCCTTTGCAGGGTGCTGTGTGCTGAGGCTGGACCATGCATCTGCTCGTACTGATCTCCGGGTGCCTGCTGGGCTGCACAGGTAATGAATGGGGTTTCCTTCTACTTGTCATGTCACCTTCATTTAGGACGAACCTTTACTGCCTCTTCTGCACAGCAATACATGCCATCTCTACTAGAATACCCTCCAGGAAAGCATGGCTGAGTATGTGCAGTCCTGATAAGGAGAACATATCTACATAATGACTTTGCTCAACTCTCATGTATTCTTGGGATGTTTCGCAGAGAGGATTTAAACGCTGACATTTAATGGTGGTCAGGAATACAGAAAGTGTTCATTTTAATTTCTGATTTTTGGAAAACTTGTGTGATTTCAGGAAAATGTTGGCATCTTGGCATCAATTGGGGAGCAGAAAGGAAGGTGTGTTTTTTTTTTTTTTAGGTTGCAGCAGGCTTTCAATTCTGCTTGTGCCAGAACAACAGTTCCCCAATAATTTCATCATTTTACATTATTTTACCAGAAAGTGGAAACAAGTCAAGTGAAGAAATGTACAGATGTAATGATCAAATAGGCAAAATAAAATGAAACGACCACCAATACAAAGAATGCTAAATGAGAAAAATCAGAACTAACCTAAATACACCAAATTAAACTCAATGAGCAACGCTGAGACTTTACACTTTGCTGGTTTTGCAGCAAAGACATTCAGCCAATATCACTTTGCTCATACATAGTCGCAGTTGTTTTGCTAGACTTGGGATAAACTTTTATCTTAATATAATAATGGTGATGGGGATACAGAATTTAGTATTTGCTTGATCTAATGGATGCACTACTTTTTATCACCACAACGCAGGTTATTGCTGTACTGTGCATTGTGTGGTGCTGTAACGCATGCCCACTGGGCGGTATGTTGGGCTGCAATTGAGAATAGTTGGCAATGCTATGCAACCAGCACACATACGGCAGCATGTGGAATTGTGTGCTGTTTGATAGCGTGCACTAAGTGCATGGATCCTGTGCCTTTAGCGCAATGCTAAGCTGTGAATGGGCCCAGCAGGGATATATTTACAGATCTAGATGTGATCCATAGACTACTAATCATCAGGGATTTTCTGCATGCATTGAGGGGAATTTATCAAAATTGGCGCAGACAGAATCTGGAGCAGTCATCAATGGCAACCAGTCAGCTTCTCTCTTTTCAAAGCTCAACTGAAGAGAGAAGCTGATTGGTTACTATGGGCAACAGCTCCAGATTCTGTCTGCTCCAGTTTTAATACATTCCCCCATTGTATTCCTGATATACACATGCAGCTCCCTCTGTGCTTGTTCAACCTCATCTTATGTCTTCCCTGGAAAGAATGGTACAAAAGCAGATCCGGCCAACTTGCCTTATTAAGTAAAGTCTGCAAAGAGCTGATTCTAAACAATCGGAAGGACTTTAGACAAAGTTTTAAACATGTGGATCTGTGTTATGGCTAACAAAGTCTACCGTCTAGATCTATAGCTGTGTGACTGTCACAGGTCTATATAAATAAATGTGTATATATATATATATATATATAT